AGAGACAGACAACCATTTGCACTCATGTTCACAGATATTTTAGAAACACCAATTAACCTAACCCTAAATACTACATGACTTAAACCAACACGTTCTCATCCCAAAGCGTAACATTTTATGCTAGGTGACAGCATATTACGTTTTTGGGCACCCAACACGTTCCTACATGACAACATCGGAAAACTAAGGACCTGTGAGAAACTTTTGGACTCAATCTGTACATGTTTGCTCTTCTCCTTAAAATCGCTTGCGGACACACTATTTCACGTCATTAAAGTGGTGGTTAAGGTTAGGAATAAGGTTATGGTTAGGGAGAAGGTTAGGTTTAGGGCTGAATACAGGGCTGGAACATCTATTACCATGGGACCGTCATTCCACTGGATTTCTGCCATAACCCGGCGCATACCATAAGAACGCAGAAGGTCACCTTTCGCGTTCCTCAGGAACGCCGCGGGATGTGACAAAACGTAGGGATGTTACGCCTCAGGAGTGAGAACGGTCTGCTTTAACTGTGGCAGGAAACCAGAATACCCAGAGAGAACCCACTGCACACTTTGCCAGATTCAAAAAAATAGGGAAACTATGATTACAAGGCTTTATATAGAATTTTCTGTACCACAATAAGGTATATACGTAGTGTGTGTGTGGTTGTCTGTCTCTTCTAACCCCAGTGATTTTCCTGTGGTTTGAACTCTTGTGTGATCTTGTGAATTTTGTGAATCCAGGCAACTAACCACTCTTAAATCATGTCATCTCAACAAGAATAAATTACGTTGCTGGATTTCATGCAGATCCTACATGATTTAATTACGTTCACCACAGAAACATGAAATTATTTTGTTCACATTACAAGTTTGAATTTTGTAAATGTAACAACTATCAAATTTCATTTTTTTTGAGTGTCACAGAAACACCTTTCTGAGAAAATACCTCTGACAGCTGGATAAATGATCTACCCTTGAGACTGCTGATTCCAGTTCATTCACAGTAGACAATAAGCTGCTTGTATTGTGTCCAGAAATTCCAGTCTGGCTCATCGGTGACTCTATAGGCAGAGGTTGTTACTACTTTGGTTCCCTTTTCCACGTTAACTGACGTGGAACAACAAGAAGAACAGTGAGACCAGAAGTTTCAAGTGATTTTCTAAAAACACTTTAAAATGTTTCCTTTAGCGTTCATGTGCTGTAGCATCGGATGCAGTTGAAAACATTCTTGACATTAATCTTTACAGCTGCTGTCTGACCTTTGCTGACTTTTCCTTCTCAAATAGTCAGTTGTTTTCGTTGTGTGGGATATTTTGGACTTTTACAGACTAAAAGATTGTGTTGTTCACCTCTACAATTAATTAAAGGCCTGTTGTTAGTATCCACCAAAGCTGCTGGTCTTTTTGTTGTGACTTCTTTATCATTTCCAAACTCAGTTTTGGAAGGGAAAGCCATGAAGTAAATACTTGTGCTCGTTTCAGGGTTTCTGAACCTCTTGATCATAATTTCGGCTGCGTTCAGTCTCTCGTGCTGGTAGATGTTTCCCCTCAGTTACCATAAATTGGGTGTAACATATACTAAGCTTGCTTGTTGACAAACTTGTCTTCATGCTTATTTCTCCTGCAGACCACTTGCAGCCTTTCTCCGTATTTCTTGAAGTTCACGGTGGAGCTTGTTAACAAGTGCCTTTGTAGTTGTGGCATTATCCAAGTCTTCCATAACACGAAACATTGTATTTAAACATCCTGTGAGGAACAATGCAAAAAACTGTAACACGCCACCATCTTTTGGCTTAATTATTGGATAGTTCAACACTTTATAAAGCTTCTGCAATCCTATAGTCATCAACAAATCTTTACTTTAGCATCACTGCTGTAATAGTTGAAGGACAGCATTTTCACATGGTTCAAAATTCCCTTTATCAGCACCACTGATATCTGCTGACGTCTACATGAGTGTTCTGTACACATCTCTACCAAAACCTTCGTTTGTGCTTCTGACCCAGCCAGAGCAGCAGTGATTGTATTTTCTTTCAAGCCTTTATAGCAGCTTCTGTTGTTTTGTGTTCTTCTAGAGTCTTAATTAATGCTGATAGTTGTTATGTTTTATCACTGACTTGTTCAAGCATTTTATTCATTTTATCTTTATGTATCACTTCTCTTTTCACAAGTGCACCTACATACAATATACAGGCTGATGTCCTAAGGAGGAGTTTGTTTTCATTCATCATTACTATCATCACCAGACACAGAGTAGTGCCTGAGGCATTCCAGTTTGATTATAGAGGAACAGAGCTTGTCTTCAGTGACCTCACTGAAAGTGATTTTTAATACCCAGAGAGAAGAAAAGCTTCTTATGCTCATTTACGGTTTGTTGATTATTCTTCAGCCTCAAATTTGTAATGAGAAAGTTTTTTGAACAGTTCAACATGAGTAAATATCATTTGGACTGGATTCTGGACTAACAGGGTACAAACCAGGTCTGCTCCCCGACTCGCTCCCACATGTATACGTTATCTCATCTCTACAATTAATCCTGTCCATACATATGTGTGAGAGCAGGTCTGAAAATGTCAGAGACATGCTTCTATGGTCTGCAGATGACTGTTAGTGTCATTCTGCTCCAGGATCATGAGAGCAGCCATGGACTGTAACTGTGCTGAAGATTTGGAAATCCAAAATAATTTGAGTTACAGGAGCAGTTGTGCTTTTGTATTTGTGCTCTATCCTTTTTTATATTCTCTATTGTTTTTCTTTCTCTTTTCTGTCTGTCAGCTTTGACATTGTTATATTACACATATACTGTGAGGAACAATAGAAATGAATACATTACATTTAAAAACAAACAAACAGGATGAGCTTGTAGAGACTTTACAGAGCTCGTCTTAGAAAAACAAATCTGTTTGGCACAACAGTGCATTCTGATCATAATTCAGATTGCAGAGGCTGTCTGACAGGACCGGCTAAAACATATCTAATACAAAAGAAATGAGTATTGAGTTTAGAACATGTACTCATCAAGTCATATCCATTTAAGTCAGAATGTGCTCAGAGTTTAAATATGTGGGAACAGTTTTTGATTCAAAGCCAAAGTTGTGTGCTTCAAAGGGAACCAGTGCCTTTCATGTTTGAGACAACTTTCTCGTTTCCACATTGATAACATCATGATGGTTTTATATTATTGAGATTATGTTGAATCACTTTGATGATTTTCCTTGGTGTCTTGGACATTTGTCAGGAAATGAAGCGATCAAACAGCTGATTGGTGAATCAGTGCTGAACCATCACAACTTTACAGCAGACACATACAGCAGTTTACTGCTTCAGTGTTTCTTGATGACTCAACATACTTTTGCAGTTTGTTCCTCCTTCCCTCTTCCTTCTGGACAAAAGTTTCTGTTCCCAGAATGAAGAACAACAAAATTTTAAAAAGCTTTGCAGCATTTAGATCAATGAATCATATCTTTGTTGCTTTGTGGGTTACGTGATGCTCAAAACCTGACTGTATCAGGTGAGACAGAAACAGTCAGCTTGATCATGTGTTAGTAATTCTGATCTAAAATCATTGGTTTTCTTTGTATTTCCAGATGTTGTCAGCCTGTTAGAAACTCCATCATCCCAAATGCTTTTGGACCATGGAAACCTTCACCCAGGAGCCAGGTAAGCATCCAAACCTGTGTGGAAAAAGTTTTTAAATCATGAATAAAATATGATTAACCACATTTGTTGGAAAGTTGAGTTCAACTTCTCTAGCCACACTTAGGCCTAATCTCAGACCTCCTGAATGCAGAAATCACTTAAAATAAATCTTTATGACAGAGTAATCTGAAAGGTCTCATAACCCAGTCCAGGCCCCTCAGGAAATCACATGATAGGGTGGGGGTAGGTTTCACAGCGGGTTCACCCAAAACCTTGGCTGATTGTTACCTACACCCGTTTTCACACCTTGGCTCCTGTGATTAGGTAGATGACAGGGGGTCCATCCATGTCCCTCTTGGTGGACACTCCCCTAGGGCTTAACTCTGGGACTCTCCACCATTTGAACTTAGAACTGAAGAAGCTTCTTGGATGAGAGGTGAAATGTCTTCAAGCAACTTAAAGAAGTCCAGACCCTTTCCTTTCTGAGCTCCTTAGACCAGTTTTCTCAAACTGTGGTACATGTACCACTAGTGGTACTTGGGCTCTCTCTGGTGTAACACGGGAAGTCTTCACTTTTTTTTTTAAAGATTAAATAATATAACATTGTGGAGGTATGCAAAGATGACACAGGAGTTCCCGAGGCTCTTGTGGGAGCCGGAGTCAACCAGAAAACGTCTCCCCGAGCGTGAGTCCTCTATGAAGAGCAGCCTTTCCTAATCGCAAGCGGTCGCAGCCACTACAGACCGCTGGCGGGCTCGTTTCCCTGGGCCTTGAAACTGCAAAGGCGGCACGGCTCTGTCACGCTGGTGGTGAATCGGGTACTATCGCTTGGATGCCGAAGCTCCTGGTAGCCAGGAGAATGAAATCCGCTTCTTCTGCGAGTGAGCGGTAATCCTTCAAGGCCAACAGCAGGGAGTTGGCGAGGCCAGTTCGCACTGGTGCCAGCAACTGTCGGAGGAAGACGTGAGTGAAGAGCAATCCGCCGTCATCCGTTCCTAGCAGCGTGCTCTCCATGAGCTTGAGAGCATCACCCAGGCCCAAGAAAGAGAGAGGAGTTTCTCAGCCCGCTCTGCGTCAGAGAGGGAGTAGTGCCGAGCAGCAGCACCTTGTGCACGGTGTAGTTCACTTTGGGTGGAGGGATCCCATGTGAAGCCACCACATGATGGTATTTTGTGTCGTTGTCTGAAACACCACAAAGAGCAAATTGAGCTTCGACGTGCACAAACCACGAAGGAGGGTCGTGAAATCAAAAATCTGGCAGCTTAACAGCCACAGCAAAAATGAAAATGCACAGTTCTGCTATCACTTCCGATATAAATGAAGACTGGAAACTAAACAGCAGTGGTGTGTATAGGGTTACTGAAGTTTGGCTAGCTGGTATATAATGATGTGCTGCGTGGTGGCTAGCTACACAGCTATGGTTAGCATAATATAAACGGTTAAGCTGTTTATATTATGCTATAAACAGCTTAACAACTTTCCAGTTGATAAAAGTTAACGTGAGGGTTTCTGAAGGTTAGGGACAAATGCAATCAGATGACAGGATGCTGTAAACGGACCAAACTTTAGTGAGGAGAACAACTGCAATATAAGGTTAGCCATTAATCAACTGGTGCATGGGCTGGGCTGTAGTTACATCGTAAGTTTTTAAAAACTGAGCTTTAAAATGAATAGTGATGATAAAAACCAAGAGAGGTCCGACAGTGATCACTGAGTTTTTTAGGGGCTTGTTCAGATTAAATAGAACAAAATACAAAAGCATTAAAACATGTTAAAAACACAACATGTCATGAACCGTAGTTCAGCACACAAGCTGGACCCAGAAGCAGAGACAACACGCCAAGGTGCATGCAAAATAATCTTTATTTTTAACTAAAGGTGTCCCGGAAGGGTCAAAGGAAAACACGCCGATTAACTTGAAAACCAAGGGACCGGGAGATAAACAACTCAGGAACGCCGTAGTCGGGACTGTGGGAGGCTGCAACAGAAAGAGGAAGAGAGTTACTGGGGAACGGGGAAATAACAGCATAAGCAGGGTAGAGTTGTTAATCTTACGATCAAGGCTGGGCCGTGGGAACCGGAGGGAGGGGTGAGGGTCCGCGGCAGAGCTCCAGGGAAAACAGAGGAGATGAAGACCAGTGGTGATCCGAACTCCAGGCGGGCAGGAGGACAGGCAGGTGAGGGCTCAAAACACGCCGAACGGTTACCTGAGCGCACAAGGAAAGGATTAGCGTTGTTTAAAGCAAGTCAGAATTTCACAACCGCCTTCACGTGGGGCCACGTTACCGCTGAAAGGTGACTAACGGACTGGCATGGAGCAGCTGGCTGAGCTGGGTTAAATAGTCCACCTGATGATCGCCGGAAGCAGGTTTCATGACGTCATCACTTAAAGATTGGAAATCCCACCTGTTGTGAATGTTTTAATGCAGTACAGTTGTTATTATTATTATCTCATGTCACATCCTGTTTATGACAGTTAAAATAAATAACATTCATATAAGAAAGGAAATTATCTGTGTAAACTGTATTTGGTTGTAAATAGGTCTATACTACTGTACTTTAATGTTGGTCATAAAGGTGGTATTTCAAGAGCCATATACAGTGGTATGCAAAAGTTTGGGTACCCTTGATCATTTTCATGATTTTCTTTCATAAATCATTGGATCAGCATTGGTTGTTTGGATCAGCAATTTCATTTAAATATATCATATAGCAGATGAACAGAATGATATTTGAGAAGTGAAATGAAGTTTATAGGATTTACAGAAAGTGTGCAATAGTTACTTAAACTGAATTAGGCAGGTGCATAAATTTGGGCACTCCGACGGAAAAATTACATCAACATTCAGTAGATCCTTCTTTTGCAGAAATTACAGCCTCCAAACACTTCCTATAGCTTCCAATGAGAGTCTGGATTCTGGTTGATGGTATTTTGGACCTTTTGTCTTTACAAAACCTCTCCAGTTCATTCAGGTTTGATGGTTTCTGAGCATGGACAGCCCGCTTTAAGTTACACCATAGATTTTCAATAATATTCAGGTCTGGGGACTGAGATGGCCATTCCAGAACATTGTACTTGTTCCTCTGCATGAATGCCTTAGTGCATTTTGAGCAGTGTTTAGGGTCATTGTCTTGTTGAAATATCCAGCCCTGGCACAACTTCAACTGATTCTTGAACATTGTTCTCAAGAATTTGCTGACACCGACTGGAATCCATGCGACCCTCAACTTTAACAAGATTCCCAGTCCCTGCACTGTCCACACAGCCCCACAGCATGATGGAACTGCCACCACAGTTTCCTGTGGGTAAAAAGTGTATCTCTTGGAATCCTGTGTTTTGTTTCCTCCATGCATAACGCCCCTTGTTATGCCCAAATAACTCAATTTTAGTTTCATCAGTCCACAGCACTTTATTCCAAAAGCTTTCTTATCCAAATGTGCTTTAGCATACCTCAAACGACTCTGTTTGTTGCATGTGCACAGAAAAGGCCTGTTCTGCATTACTTTCCCGTACAGCATCTCCTTGTGCAAATTGCGCTTAATAGTTGAACGGTGAACAGTGACACCATCTGCAGCACGATGATGTTGCAGGTCTTTGAAGCTGGTCTGTAGGTTGACTATGACTGTTCTCACCATCCTTTGCCTCTGATTATCTAAGAATCACTTCCCGTCTCAACTAGAACTGTGCCTGTGGTCTTCCATTTCCTCAATATGTTCCTCACAGTGGAAACTGACAGCTGAAATCTCTGAGACAGCTTTTTTTATACTTTCCCTAAACCATGATGTTGAACGATCTTTGTTTTCAGGTCATTTGAGAGTTGTTTTTTGAGGCTCCCATGTTGCCACACTTCAGAGAAGATGCAACGACGAGAAAAACTTGCAACTGGCCACCTTAAATACACTTTCTCATGACTGGATTCACTTGTGTATGTAGGTCAAGGGTCAATGAGCTTACCAAACAAATTTTATGTTCCAAAAATTAGTGCTGAAGGTATTCAAATCAATAAAACCACAAGGGTGCCCAAATTTATGCACCTGCCTAATTTAGTTTAAGTAACCATTGCACATTTTCTATAAATTCTATAAACTTTATTTCACTTCTCAAATATCATTGTGTTGATCTGCTACATGATATATTTAAAAGAAATTGCTGATCCAAGGTTGCATACCACTGTATTTTTACAAAAGTTTCTCTGTACCTGACGAAGGTCACACAGATATTATAACTGAATGAAATAATAGCAAACCTGACAGTGTTCAGAGGTTATACTTGTATTCTCTACAGAGGATAAATTGTTTTCATTATTCCTACAGTTTTTTTTTTTTTAATATTTATATTTTAAAATGATTTTTTTTACAGGGTGTTTCCTGCAACTGAAAATGGGATCCTTGAAGCGCACCAAGTCAATGCAAGATATTTTGGATTTTCACACAGGGCAGGTGCTGCTACCACAGAAAGGAGGTAATGTGTGTCTAAATGTTGTGGTAACTGTGGTACGTGTACCACCAGTGGTACCTGGGCTCTCTCTGGTGGTATGTGGGAAATCTCCATATTTTTTTAAGATTAAATAATTGTAGAGGTATGCAAAGATGACACGGGAGTTCCTGAGGCTCTTCTGGGAGCTGGAGTCAACCAGCTGGTGGGCTCATTTCCGTGGGCCTTAAAACTACAAAGGTGGCACGGTACTGTCACGTTGATGGTAAAAATATATATTTTATGGGGTGGACTTATTGTGAAAAGTTTGAGAACTACTGTTGTAGAGGATGAATCTAAATTTCAAATATAGGAAAACTCTCCACAATTGGAGAACCACTGCCATGGTAAGAGTCATTATCCACTGTCACAGAAGAATGACAGAACCGCCCACAATTCAGTGATTTTCAGCATTTTTAAACACTTTTATTAACGGTTGTTGTTCAAACAATCGGCTGCAACTTTCCAGCTCACAGTCACACACACTAACAACAACAACCTAGTTCAGCCTTTAAGCTGGCGAGGTGTGATTGCGGATGCCACTCAGGTGCATCTGCCTCCCCTGCAGCTGCACTGCAACCACGCCCTGCCACATCCACGCATGGTGAAAACTTGGAACAGTGCTGATCCTTCCTTGAGAGACCAGCCTATCAAAACTATTCCAAGGAACCATTAACAACTCATCCAGGAGGCCAAAGAAGACTCCAGAACAACATCTGTTGATCTGCAGATGTCACTTTGCTCAGTTAATTTAATTCAATTCCATTTTATTTATACAGCAGTAGGTCAGAACAACAGTTGCCTCGAGGGGCTTTATAGTGTAAGGTAGACAATAGGGTTAAGGTCAGAGGTCATGATTCAACAATAAGAAAGAGACAGGGCAAAAATGGAGAGTTCAAGGAGGAAAGGTTTGTGTCATATCTCCCAAGAAACATAGATTTTCCTGGGGCTTCTCAGAAATATTCTGTAGATTGACGACACAAAAGCTGAACTTTCTGGAAAGTTTGAGTCCCGTTACATTTGGCATCAAAATAATGACATTTCATAATTTGAACATCGCAGCAGCAGTCAGACACGGTGGTGGTAGTGTGGATGGTCTGGGCTGTTCTGTTATAACTGATGAAACCATGAATTCTGCTCTCTACCAGAAAATCCTGAAGGAGAATGTCCATACATCAGACTATGTGCTGAAGCTCAAAAGCACTCAGGCAGCAGCACAATGATACAAAACAGAGCAACAATTCACCTCTGAATGACATAAAAAAATAAAATGAAGGTTTTGGCGCAACCTAATTAAGATCTGGAATTCAGATTCAGACTCACTCGGATTGAGATGCTTTGGCCTCCCATGTAGGTAAAATACTCCAAAGACACTTTTGGACTTTGAAGCAGCCAATGCAGAGCAAGCTGTCAAACTTGAAATGGAAATCCTGATGAATGAAACATTAGCTTGATGTGTCCGACTTCTCCCATTAAATGAATCCACTCATCCAAACAAACAGTTCCATGAGATAATTTGATTAACTTCACCATGACTCTTTATTTTGTCACCAAGATTTTCAAAGCATTGTGAAGGTTTTACGTTTCACATGATTTGACTTCTGACTTTCAGTTCGTTGGCTTCTGTTTCCAGAGTACAGAACATCAAGGATTCAGAACAGATTTGTTCACTCAGATGAACAAGTCATAGCTTTGTCACTTCTGAGTTACATGATGCTCCAAATTAAGAATATTATTATTTTGCTTTCATTATTTTGTACTAAGCATATCTTTTGTCTGTTGTGTCGATATTAAGAGTCTGAATGTGAGGATGGATGACGAAAGACTGCAAAAAAAAAATCTTTGTGTTTCCAGGTGTAGTCCAGCTGTTCACGCCATTCCATCGTCTCAAATCTCAGAGACATGTTTCTGGAAACCTGTGAATGCTACAAAATTTCTGGTAAAATATTTACATGAATTCCATTATGATAACAACCCCAAACACACCTCTAAAAACCAGTGCCTTGCTAAATAAACTGAAGAATAAGGTACTTGACTGGCCAAGCATGTCTCCAGACTTAAACCCTATTGAGCGTCTGTGGGCCATCCTCAAATGGAAGACGTAGGAGTGCAAGGTCTCTAACATCCACCAGGTCTATGATATATCCATGGAGGAGTGGAAGAGGATTCCAGTGGCACCCTGTGAACTCAATGCCCAAACAACTTAAGGCAGTGTTGGAAAATAATGGTCACACAGAATATTGACACTTTGGGGACAGTTTGGACATTTTCACTTAGGGGTGTACTCAAATTTGTTGCCAGCGGTTTAGACGTTAATGGCTGTATGAGTTATTTGAAGGGGACAGCAAAACACTAAAAACACTACTAAAATTTCATGGCATGGCCCTTTTTCTCTCTCTTCAGGTAATTATGATAATTCTGATAAAAGTCTCCAGTGGTCTCAGCCTCACATGTCAGCAAGCAGAGTATCAGATAGGAAATGAATGCTGTCCGAAGTGCCCTACAGGTAAGAACCAACTGAATGATGAATGGATGTGTGTTTTCAAACAATTTAGACACAATTAAAAAAGGCAAGCTTGAAATGAATTTATTGTGTTTGTTTTCATCAGGGAGTCGCGTGAAAACTCACTGTAATGAGTATAGAAGTACGTCATGTCTGCCCTGCATGGATGGAACCTTCACTGATCAACCTAATGGACTGGAGCGATGTATTCCCTGTACAAACTGTGACTCAGGTGGATTAATTTTACTGGGCTTAACTATGTTTTATGTTATAGTAGTTTAAAATCAAATTAAAACATTAAGGGAGGTTTTTCTCCATGATTTCATTCATTTAAGATGATGATGTTTGATATTTCCTAAAGACGACATAATGACCAAATGTATTTTCAGCAAAAAAATCACAAACTCTGAGCTTCAGCGTCTCTTCACAAACACATGAAACATGTTGAGTATGTTATTTTTATGTTTGCAGCTCTTGGTCTGATGGTAAAGAAGCGGTGTACAGCAACATCAGATACAATCTGTGCACCACTGGAGGGATTCTACTGTGTTTCTTCTGTGGGACTCAGCTGTGACACAGCACAGAAACACAAATGCTGTAAACCAGGACAGTACATCAGTCAGAAGGGTAGGTTTGTGTTTTTAAATGAGAATACCAGAGTTCAGGGAAACTGATCTCATTTACTATTTGCTGAACATTTTTATACAATATTGTTATTATCATTGTAACATAGGATTTGTACAGCAAATTAAGTCTAAAGTCAGCAGTGCAAACATCAGCCACCATATAAAAACATCACCACTGGGATACGTGCTATTGGTCAATAGTGACTGAGTCTGGTACAGACTGGTGTCTCAGACAGAGGATATAGAGACTGGTTCAAAATCCTGGTGATGACTCCAGCCAGCTGGTCTGTGCAGTCCTTCAGCACAGGTCCAGGGACACCATCAGGTCCTGCAGCTTTCCTCCCATTTATATCCACCTCACCTCACACTCCTCCACTCTCAGGGTGAAGCTGCTTTGGGTTGCTAAGTATAACTTGACTGCCTCTGGTGATTTCACATCAAAGTGAGCCAAAAACTTTGCAAAACTTGTGCATATGATTTTAAAATTGACAATTGCATTTAAAGTTATGAAATATGATTCAGTAAACATGTTTGTGGTTGTTACAGTAAAAAATAGAAACTTTTCTACTTGGATTTAATATTTTCTGTCTGATTTTAGATCCATTGTGTTAATACAGTATGCCAAAATGAAAGCATAACTGTAAATTCAGACACGTGAGGTTGTGCTGAAAAGAATGATACCAAACAAGGCAAAGTGGTTTTTAAATTGTAAATAAATGGTAAATGGCCTGTATTTGTATAGCGCTTTACTAGTCCCTACGGACCCCAAAGCGCTTTACTCATCCAGTCATCCACCCATTCACACACACATTCACACACTGGTGTGTGTTTAAAGGTGAAATGTAGAGGTCAAATCAAAAGTAGTAAAAAATGGCCAATTATACCCTGGAACCCAGAGGGTTAAACTTTTTTTTTAAGCAATGCAATAGTTACTTTTCAAGTAATTAATTATTAGAATTTCTTTTTTTTGAATTACTAGAATCTTGTAACTCAGTTACTAACTCAGCTACTTTTTTGAAGAAGTAACTAGTAACTATAATTTATTACTTTTTCAAAGTAACTTGCCCAACACTGGTAATGAGCAGCATGCAGATGTCTGTGACAATGTGAATCATTGTTGCCTGTAACCTCAGTTCATCCATTTTATTAGAGAGGGTTGGGCCCTGATAAGAAAAAGGGTAAGACATGTTAGGAGGCAGTGAGAGAGAAGGAAAGGCAGGAGAGTGGAGGTGAATGCACAACTCTAAATATAACAACATATTAAGCATTTAAGAAAACATTTAATACTTAAATGAAAACATCACATTATTTTGGTAATAAGACAATAACCAGAACATGATTATATACATAACGTTTATTATAAATGATGTACAACTGTAATTCCTTCAACCCAACTGTGATATAGAGTTAGATGATATAGACAACATTTCATTAGTCTGTTTTTCATATGAATTTATGAGGATGTAAAACTATACCAGTTTTTTAATTTAGGACACTGAGCAGCCCAGAAGTCTGCTGGACGAGGACCTGGGGTAGAACAGAGCCATGTTTGGACTCGGTGTGAGAGATATCAAAGGCAGTGAAGTTCAGATAAACATGAAAATACCAGCAAGTCCAGATGTTCTTGATCAAGTCTTTGTGTTGCTGTTAGTTTACACAGCAAAGCATCTTGGTGTGTGTGAGGGCAGAAGTCCACACCAGGGTTTTAATAGTTTTGCAATTTTCATTAGTTTTTATTTTTATTTAGTTTTGACTTCAGATTTTCAATTTTATATCAGTTTTAATTAGTTTTTACCAATTGTTTGCTAGTTTAGTTTAGTTTTTTTTTTTTTGAAAATCCTTAGTTTCAGTTTAGTTTTGATTAGTTTCAGTTATAGTTTTAGTTGTGTTTGCAATAATAAAATGTAACAAAGTCCCAGTTTCATCATATCAGTCATTCTCTTCTGCTTATCCTTGGGTAT